AAATTACCAACAGTTAATTTCACAACCTTTTCAAAAATCCTTGAATTGTTTGCAAATCCATTTAGCATTGGATATTGCAAGCTGATGCTTGCTAATTGGAAGATTTTTGACTAAGAAACTATTCAGACTACAAACGGATCTTTCTGGGTGATTCACTTATAGTGATCTCCCTCTAAAAAGCACATCTTGGGAAGCAGGCACCGAGCTGCTCATAAAACTGAGGTTCTTTCAGCGCTTCCATCTGCACATTGAAGCCCTGATCCCATAGATTAATCTCCTCAAACAATCTGAGACAGCTCAAAACAAGGAACACTGATCGCATTTTCTCTTTTGTATTTTATTTCACAATACACAGTCCCCAATATAACTTAAGTTTGTGTAATTTCTCTCACTCACTTTTTAAAACATGGCCTAAAATAGGACTAATTAAATTAAACAATTAAACTAAATTAAACAATTCTATCAGTAGTAAACACACAACTACTATACCAAATCATTAAAAAATAGACAGAGCTTTTAAAAAAACCAATTCAATGTAAATCTTCCAACCTTAGTGCTTGATCCTGCCCTCTTTGAGGTCACTTGAAGCAGTAACACTGACATGACTCCATGCAGAAATAGCGTTGTGTTCTATACATACCTGAATATCCTGACTATATAGGTGCACACATCCTTATCATCCACACGCTGCTCCAGCGCCACAGAGAGCTCAGAGACTGCGCCGTTGCAAACGAGCTGGCGCCTTGCCGGAGGTAAGTCAGCCAAGTTTCGCAAAGTAGCTGTCAGCTGCGTAGAGAACGTTCAAAGATTTATTAATCGCAGCCGTTTACGACACAATCCACACTGTTTGGAAAATTTAATAAAGCTCAGATCTCATTGGTAACGTCTAAGGCAGCCTGAACGGCCTGTGAGCATTCGGCAGGCATGTATCTACCAATAAATTACTACAGAAAATGTGTGAGTAACAAAACTGTGTATATTGAAATAATTGTTTGAAAATGAAAGATTGATATTGGTCTTTGTCTGCATATGGTCTCCTCCTTTGAGGGAAACATGATCTTTCATATGTTTTAAAATCTTGCATGCATGTATACAACCATATACCAATAGGAAATTAGGTGAAATGCTGCGGATAGTTAAGGTGATTTTTTGCATAAGGTCTGATTTTGCAAATTTACATTTAAGTCTTGCAAATTAATCCTGATACATAATATATATCTCGATAATAACTATGAGTTGCAAACTAAGATTAATTTGTTTTAAAAGACAAAACTTTTAAAAAAAAATTAAAAGTTAATCAAGATCAAGAGAAATCCACTAATTCAAACAGTATAAAAATGAAAAGCTTAAGTTCTCAAGTTTATTCTGGAGAAACCAAAGTATTTTCCGAAGATATTGTTCTATTTCAAGGAGTTTTAAGCATAAAATATCTGGCACTTGTAGATATGCAAAACGAATCAGCTATTGCATATTTTGAAATGCTCTGGTTCTCTTCCAAGATAAGGGTATTCAAATGCCAAGGCCAGACAGGCAATGACATGTAAGTTAACTGTTGATCTTACCCAGAACTTACTGTAAAATCAATGCAAAAACATTTAATCTAATGTGAATATGGGAATTCTTCAAATTTTCCTTATTCTTAGTAAGGTATTTAACTTCAATTTGGTTTTAAACATAGTTTGATAAGGCCCAAAGACTATCTGTTCATATTGTTTGTAATCACAAAAAACGCTAGAAATTAACTATTTTATCACTGAATCAGATTGCTTGTCCTGTGATATATAATTGCTAATTTTAAAGAAAAATCTGACAAAGAGCAGGTGAAGTTGTTGTGTTTGAGGAGCTTTTGCTCATAGGATTCTATGCACTACTCTATCCATTCTCCAGCAGCTTTCAAATTTGCTGTCCTACTTCAACAAATCTCACAAATGTGTACATGTCTTCAGTTACCACACGAATGAAGAACGAAAATGCAATTCAAGATGTTCTGTAATGGAACAATAGGAAAAGGAATAATGCATCAAAACAGAGAAGGATGGTAGAGAGGGAAAAAAAAAATAATGTGATAATGTGAATATAATATGTGCATGGATTTAACTTCAGCACTAAATATGAAACGTATACTATATTCAGAATAAACAGAAACTGAACCTATGGAAGCCATTTGCTTTTACCTCATATTTTAAGAAGAAACCTGGAGTTGTTTGTTATTTTAATGAAACAACTGGAAAAAAAAAAAACAAACATTTCCAGATATGCATTCTTTCACAAGTCATGATGCTTCAAAAATCAACACAATACTGGAGAAATAATTTAAAATACAAATATTCTGATCGAATACTTTGCTATGCAAAATTGTGGCGGAAAAATTCCTTCCAAATGGAATAGACACAGAAGACTCCATTCAGTGCTCACACACAAGATGTTCACAGTCAGCCTAGGATGATATTTGTTGAGCTCTAGCTAAACTTCACAAGACAATGAAGCCACATACTAAAAGACATATTAAAGATCAGGGCTTTCACTGCAGCAAAGAAACTTACATATTACATGACCAAAAAAATTAAAAATTTTTATCAATAGATAATGGTGCTGAGGTCTCCAAAAAGAGAGTAAAATTTTTCACTGCCTGAGACAGATAGTTCAAAATCCTCCAGCAGTAAATTCTATCAAGAGGCGTTCTCATACAAAGACAGGTTGGAAAGCAAAAGCAATGCAAAATAATGTATACTCTTAAATGTGTGAGACAATGGAATTCAGATGTTCACAGAAGTATACAGCCACAAAAGAACAGTTAGTACACAAGTGAAATTTGAAGAGTACAAATTAAGAGGTAACAGAAGCTAGCCAGACAGCAGACGAATTCAAGAGATACTGTGATTGCTTCAAGCAGTCACCACGATTCAGGGAGAAATGCCTAATAATTGGCTCTAGCAATCCCCACCAGCCCTAATCCTTATGTTGCCATGTGAAAAATCAAATTCATCCAAACAGAAAATTTAACAGCACACAAATGACATTTTTAATGGAGAAGACATTTAAGTGCTTTTCAATTAAGGAACATGGAGTACTTGTTAAGTCTTGTCAGTGACACTTCGAAAGCCTTGGCTTTTGAATTAAGCATTACCATATTTCATAGAAATATGATCAGACTATTAGGTGAAGCAACATAAAATGAGTCAAATATGATCTTGGTTTCATGTCTCCTATTAAGGAAAAATAATTATTATTACAAACATTTTTATTCTTGTATTGTGGGACTTCTGAATAAAATCCGTTGCGTAACAACACAGACATCAGAGAGGGACTTGGCAAGATTATGTATAACACTGCCATCTGGTGATTGTGCAATTATATGGTTAAAAAATGAAGAGTTGGTCCCTGTTAACTGAGGTACTTCAGTTGTCAGGAGTAAAAGCTGGCAGAGCCTCCTTCAGAGACCACTGTGACTATTTAAGGTGTTTTTCTCCTGCAGTATAACTTGCTCTCTTTTCCTGAAGACTTATATTTATTAAGTATTTCTGTATGTCGCTGGATATTTGGTCTTTTGCTACAAGTTCAAGTATGCCACAAAACCTGTCTTTACTCTGAAGACATGAATCACCGAAGAAACTTTCTTCGATACTATATCCCTGAAAACAGAAATATTCCTACATCTGTCTATGATGACTGAACAATTAACTCACATGGAAGAAATGGTGCCCATTAACGTAGATTTGTTGAAGAAACGGATATGAGAAAGTCTCACAGGAATTCCATAGCAGCAG